GCTGCCATGTGGTTATTTCGCCAGGATATGAGTTTTATCAATGGTGTCCCGCTTTACCAATGTTAAAATCTGGTCACCTTAATAGAGGGACCTTCCCGGCCCAGCTCTGCAAAGCGGGCTGCTTCGACTTCCACTTGCTGGCACTGTGTGCTTCCCTGGCCCGTACGCCTGCCCCTTGTCCCAGTTCTATGAGATTTCATCATTGCCCTAGGCCCAGGAGAGAGCTTTGTGCTTATCTGTTATCATGAAATGCCTCTGTAGTCGCCTAGGGCCGCGAGTATGCCAGCACAGGCAGGCTCACCCTTCAGAACAGGGGAGCAGCGCAGGATACCCTCATTGCCCACTATCTACCCCCACCCCATCCAGCGCACCTGCAGGACTAGGCACAGTTTCCAGGCCCCCAATGCGCGGAAGGACCTATTTCTTCCAGCTTAGGAAGATCCAGCAAAGGTCAGGCAGAGGGTAGTGAAAATAAAAAGGCCAGCACATCCCAAGGGGAGCTGATCTGGCCACCCTCACAGGGTAGCCAAGTCTCAGACTCCAGGCCTTTCAAGTAGCCCTGTACCAGCTGACCTCCCCAGGCTGCCCAGGTCACCACAGGCCTCTGGTGAGGGAGCAGTCATAGGTGTACCTGTGTGGGTAAGAGTATAGTGTGGTCTATGTGTGGGTGAAGATTTCCTAAAGACAATAGATAGAATCAACTGGCCAGCATCCCCTGACTCCTCGCTCTCCCCTGGACTGCCTCAGCAGAGACCCTTCAGGAAAGGCTCCTTCTAGCATGTTCCACCTAGGGTTACCAGCCCAGCCATGACCCCCTACCCAGGTCCTGCTGTCAAGGTGGCTTCTCATCCTGAGGACACAGCATCCTTCTTGGACTTCCTTACCTCTCTTGTGACTTCCCAAGAGCCTGCTGGTGCTCAGCCTCACGCAAGGCCTCCAGGGGGTCCTCCCAGGGCAGCCTCACCAGGGCCTGAGGCCTGACCACCCAGGACCACAGAGAACACCTCCCCTGCCATACATCTAGCTTGCTGCATGGGGCAGGGCCTGGCCCACGGGAGACACTGGCTCAGACAGCATGTCCCTGGAGAAGCAGCTCCTGGGAGTGCTTCTTGGAGGCCAAGAGATGGCCCACTCAACCAACCCAGGACAGTGCCTTTCCTTGTCACTGGCTGTAGTATTAAATTAAATTTGGCACGGGGGAGTGGGGTGCCAGCCCCACCCGCTACTAGAACTGGTTGGGTAATACTACTTCTGGGTTCAGTAATGCACAATTGTACGGTTGAGATATTTAAGTATTATATTAACGTCATTGAGAGCATGAGTGATATTACAATAATACAGTCAGATACCTTACATGGTAGCATTGCTCACCTCAGCCCAGCTTGGTGGTCCACGTGGAGAGAGGGCGAAGGGAAGGAGGGCAAGGGAACAAGGGAGAGGGGGATGAGAGGGGAGTGAGCAGCAAGGAGCTCAGAGTCAGAGAGAGCGATCTATATTGCTGACTCACCTACATACCTTTTGGGAGCAAGCAAGCCCACTAATTACAGGTAGAGACATACATCACAGGGAGGAGCTGCACTATAGGTTACACAGCAATGAGAGGGTGGTCTAGCGGGTGGTCTCTGGGTCTCTATAGGAACCATTATCAGTAGGGTGAAAACTCCTCCTACAGGAGCCTGTCCATTGTCCCCAGAGGTGGTGGGATGAGACAGCAGTCTGGTAACTGATTGCCTTCAGGGGAGGGAATGCCTGCGCATCTGACCTCCCCTCACAACTGGCTACATCCCATTTCCTACCATTCACCCCTTGTTCCATAGTTCTACCTCCAACCACCCTTCCATCCTTAGGTGGGAGTGGCATCAGCCTGGAGGACTGTGCTCCCTGCAGCTCTGTCTTGGTGTAAGTCTTATAGTAACCGCCCTGACAGGGTTGCGTGCCCCCTGGAGATGCCCACGCCAGCTGGAGACAAGGCCGCCTTCCACCTCGTCTGGGCTGTAGAGCAGTCCTGCCCACTCTCAGCCGCAGACTCAGCACTTTGCAGACTCCTGGGACCAGGCAGAAGTAGGCTCTCCTCCGTAACTTGGCTCCCTTAGAGAACAGAGTAGAAAGAACTGTGCTGGGCACTGTCCAAGGCTGGTCACCTGTAGAGAAGCAGATGCTACACCTTTTTGCAGACAGAGTGGCCACTGGGTTCCAACTGCGTTTTCCACTAACAGTTAATCACACAGCTGAGCAGAGCTGGGCCTTCCTGGGTACTGACCCTGAAAGAGGAGAGGCTGAGCCTGGGGGAGCCATGGGGGTCTGACCACCCCTGCCCCAAGCCCTTGCCCTGACAGGAGAAGCAAGGCTGCCAACCCAACTCCATCTAGTGCCCACTCTAAGAAACCAGGCCCCACCAGGCCACAGTGGAAACAACTGTCAGCTCCCACATCCCACTTCAAGCCATCTGTCTGCAAGTGGTCAAAGTATGAGGGGACCAGAGGGTGGGCCAGGAGCCTCTGGTGAGGATCACTCTGGCCAGGGACCTGGAATCAGGGGTGGGAGGCAGCCTGTGGCGGGCAAGAATACTGACAAGAGCTCAGACGCTGGTCTCCGGAGACCAGGACAAATCACTGAAGAGCCTGTGATCTAGGGCACCGGGGAGAAGGGAAAGCCCGAGTACAGAGGGTTCATGACGGCAGATGTTTGGGCTGCAGGGTGTTGACAGCAGGATGGCTTCAGGCCTAGGAAGGTTGTGGGTGTAGCTTGCATGGTAGAGTTCACCCATTCTGGGAGGGAACATCTATCCCTGGGTGGGTGAGGGCTTTTGTCAGATCTTGGGGGCACCTATACCCTTCCCCCACCCCACCCCACCAGGCCCTAAGAACCAGAAACCAGCAGGCCGCACTCCCAGGCAAAGGAGCGCTGGGGAAAGCACGATGATCCACATGCAGACTCGCAGGGTAGTTAACCAAAGGCAGCCCCAGGCCCTCACCCTCGTGAGCATGGAAAATTCATTCAGCTCCTTGAGATTCCAGTTCTTCCTCCTCTGACAGGGTGGATGATGCCTGCCCAGCCTGGGAGGAGCCAGCAAAAGTGAAGGGTCCCTTAGAGCCTGATCCCTTGGGGCCAGAAAAGCATGTGGCAGAGACCCTGCCCCACCCTGAGTGGCTTAGTGCTCTGGCCATGACCCCTTAGGGATACCCCGATGCCATCATCCTCACCTGCTTGGCTGAGTGGGGGGACTGGATACTGAGCTCTAATCCCAGCAGCACATGATCATGCTGTGTCTGCTGCTAGATCACCTCTTCCTACTGGAGGCCTCTCCAAGCATTAGGCCACAGGTCTCTTGTGACCACCTCCCTGGAGTCTGGACAACCTGATGCCTGTGGGGTCAGTGGAAGCTGCCCTGGCCCTGGGCCCATGGGTAGCCACGTTTGAGCCTGCAGTACGGCAAATCAGATCCCATTGCTATGGCCTTTCTAGCCCTGGTCTTCTAGCTCTCACCAAATGATTGGGTGAGGTGATTGTTAGCAAGGTATATTGAACCCTGAGGAGGAAATTTATCAACTTTGACATCCCGATAGGCTTTTTTTTTTTTTTTAACATCCTGATAGGCTTAAAACCAAATAGTCTGGAGGTGGCAATCTCCTGTCTATTTTCACCGCCTTTGTCCTCACCAAGAAAACAATGAGCCATCCTTTAAACCCAGCGGAACACATCCTTTAGATCCATGTTCCCTATGCCGAAAACTTTCTAGACCCAGGAAACAGACAGTGGAAGATGGCAAGCAGCAGCAGCAAGTGAGGTGAAGGACAGGCAGTGGCAGAACCAGACCACGTAGAGGTGTCAAACCAGCTTTGGACAGGAGGCTTGCTGGTGGGATGAGTACTTCCAGGCACTTGGTGCAGCCAGGTTTGATGACCCGTGGAGCTAGGGAGCTGGGCCTCTTTCTCCGCGGTTTGCTGGTGACTGAGGGGACCTCTGGGCACTTACAGGTCGAGATGAAGAGCCTTATCGAGACTGGGTCAGTCCGAGAGGCTTGAGAGGTAAGGACTAAGAAGAGGCCACTGAGAGGAGAGCTGAGAAGTTGTCCTGAGCAAAGAACTCTATCCTGAACTGTTCCTGATCTTGATTATGACGTGTTACTTCCCTAATGGACCCCATCACCATGAGTATTGCCTCCGAGTTCTGTGTGACCTTGTGAAGATTACACTGACTTATCAAGGACAAAGAGGAGTCCTGGTTGCTTTTCGTCACAATCAGTTCTAGTGCTCTCTCCCCTCTCCTGCATTCAGAATCTGCTCCCTAATTCCCCTCGCCCTCCTTATCCCCTGCATAGTGGTTATGCGTTGGGCCTTTGGGCTCCGAACCACAAGATC